CCAACACTATAATTCAAATGCATCAATTCTCCAGTCTTCCTTATTCCTTGCCCAGCTTTCACATGTATATGAGGCGACTGAAAATACCATTGCTTTGGTCAGGCACACCTTAGTCCTCAAAGTGACATCTTTGCTTTTTAACACTTTAAAGAGGTCTTTGCAGCAGATTTTCCCAATACATCGTTTGACTTTTTGACTGCTGCCTCTGTGGGCGTTGATTGTAGATCCAAGTAAAATAAAATCCTTGACAACTTCAATATTTTCTCCATTTATCTCATTAGTGAGAATTTTTGTTTTCTTTATGTTGAGGCTGTAGTCTTCGATCTTCATCAATAAGTGATTCAAATCCACTTCACTTTCAGCAAGCAAGGTTGTGTCATCTGCATATCTCAGGTTGTTAACAAGTCTTCCTTCAATCCTGCTGCTGCATTCTTCTTCATATAGTCCAGCTTCTTGGATTATTTACTCATCTTACAGATTGAATAAGTATGGTGAAAAGATAAAACTCTGACACACACATTTCCTGATTTTAAACCACGCAGTATCCCTTGCTCTATTCAAATGACTCATGGTCTACGTACAGGTTCCCCACAAGCAACATTAAGTGTTCTGGAATTCCCAGTCTCCACAATGTTATCCATAATTTGTTATGATCCACACAGTCGAATGATTTGCATAGTCAACAAAACACTGGTAAACATCTTTCTGGAATTCTCAGCTTTCAGCCGTAATCCATTTGACATTAACAATGATATCCCTCATTCCACGTCCTCTTCTGAATGTGGCTTGACTTTCTGGCAGTTCCCTTTCAATGTATTGCTGCAACCATTTTTTAATTATCTTCAGCAAAATTTTACTTGCATGTGATATTAATGACATTGTTTGATAATTTCCTCACTCTGTTGGATCGCCCTTCTTTGAAATGGGCACAAATATGGATCTTTTTTAGTTGGTTGGCTAGTAGCTGGCTACCAAATTTCTTGGCATAGACAAGTCTGTCAGTTTGTCGTACTGTGGTGGCTTATGTGTTGCTGTGATGATGGAATCTATGCCACCACTATTTCAAGTATCAGCAGGGTCACCCACGGTGGACAGGTTTCAGCAGAGCTTCCAGACAAAGACAGACTAGGAAGAAGGACCTGGTGGTCTACTTCTGAAAAAATTGGTCAGTGAAAACCTTATGAATAGCAGTGGACCATTCTCTGATACAGTGCCAGAGAATGAGCCCCTCAGGCTGGAAGGCACTCAAAAGACGACCGGGGAAGAGCTGTCTCCTCAAAGTAGAGTCAATTTTAATGATGTGGATGGAGTAATGTTCTCAGTACCTTCAGTTGCTAATGTGGCACAACTCGAAATAAGAAGAAACAGCTGCAAACATGCTTTAATAATCAGAACATGGAATGCATGAAGTATGAATGTAGGAAAACTGGAAGTTGTGAAAAATGAAATGGAACACATAAAGGTCGATATCCTAGGCATTAGTAAGCTGAAATGGACTGGTATTGGCCATTTTGAATCTGACAATCACATGGTCTACTGTGCCAGGAATGACCAATGGAAGAGGAATGGCATCAATTCATTGTCTAAAAGAACATTTCAAGATCCTGAAGTACTATGTGTCGGTGATAGGATAATATCCATATGCCTACAAGGAAGACTAGTTATTTACAACTATTCAAATTTATGTTCCAACCACTAAACTCCAAAGATGAAAAAACTGAAGATTTTTACCAACTTCTGCAGTCTGAAATTGATCGAATATGTAATCAAGATGCATTGATAATTATTGGTGATTGGAATGTAAAAGTTGGAAACAAAGAAGAAGGATTGGAAGTTGGAAACATGGCCTCGGTGATAGAAACAACACTGGATATTGCATGATAGAATTTTGCAAGACCAACAATTTATTCATTGCAAATACCTTTTTTCAACAACATAAAAGGCAACTATACATGTGGACCTTGCCAGATGGAATACATAGGAATCATGTCGACTACATCTGTGGAAAGAGACCATGGAAAACCTCAATATCATCAGCCAGGGGCTGACTGTGGAACAGACCATCAATTGCTCATATGCAAGTTCAAGTTGAAGCTGAAGAAAATTAGAACAAGTCCACAAGAACCAAAGTACGACCTTGACTCTATTCTACCCGAATTTGGAGACCATATTAAGAACAGATTTGACGCACTGAAGACTAATTATGAAGACCAGATAAGATGTGCGATGACATCAAAGACATCATACATGAAGAAAGCAAAAGGTCATTAAAAAGATAGGAAAGAAAGAAAAAATCAAAATGGATGTCAAAAGAAACTCTGAAACTTGCTCTTGAACATAGACTAGCTAAAGCAAATGGAAGACGTGATAACCTAAAAGAGCTGAACAGAAGATTTCAAAGGGTGGCTTGAGAGGACAAAGTATTACAATGAAATGTGCGAAGACCTGGAGTTAGAAAACCAAAAGGGAAGAACATGCTTGACATTTCTCAAGATGAAAAAACTGAAGGAAAAATTCAAGCTTCAAGTTGCAATACTGAAGGATTCCATGGGCAAAATACTGAATGACACAGGAAGCATCAAAAGAAAATGGAAGGAATACACAAAGTCACTGTACCAAAAAGAATTGATCAATGTTACACCTTTTAGGGAGGTAGCATATGATCAAGAATCAGTGGTACTGAAGGAAGAAGTCCAAGCTACACTGAAGACATTGATAAAAAACAAAGCTCCAGGAATTGTGAGAATACCAACTGAAATTTGAAAATCTAAGTTTAAACACTTGAAAAAGAGACATCACTTCTGGCACTCCAGATATTGTATACTTGCTTTATATACATACTCATCAGAACCTCAGGGCTGCAGAATTAGTTCATTCACTCTATGGAAGATGTCTGCCACACAACCTAGTTGGCAAAGCCAGTCCTCATTGAGACACCAATCAATCTAATAATATTTTCTGTCAAAACAAACCTGACTTTGAAAGGGAGAATGAAGAAAACTAAAGACACAAGGGAAAGATTAGTCCAAAGGACTGATGGACCACAACTACCACAGCCTCCACTACACTGAGCCCAGCACAACTAGATGGTGCCCGGCTACCACCAACAACTGCTCTGGCAGGGATCACAATAGAGGGTCCCAGACAGCTGGAGATAAATGTAGAACAAAATTCCAATGCATAAAAAGAGACCAGACTTACTGGTCTGACAGAGACTGGAGAAACCCCGAGAGTATGGCCCTCGGACACCGTTTTAATTCAGTACTGAAGTCACTCCTGAGATTCACCCTTCAGCCAAAGATTAGATGGCCACGTAAAACAAAATGAGACTAAATCGGCACACCAGCTCAGGGGCAAGGACGAGATGGCAGGAGGGGACAGGAAAGCTGGTAACAGGGAACCCAAGGTCGAGAAGGGGAGAGTGTTGACATGGCATGGAGTTGGCAACCAATGCTAGAAAATATGTGTATTAATTGTTTAACAAGAAACTAATTTGCTCTGTAAACCATCTAAAGTACAATAAAAAAAAAATCCAACTTCATTTTTCAATTAAATAACAAAATAGTCTTGGTGACAACCATCTATCTTCTGAATGCTGAAAAGGATAAATACTGCACAGTCTTGCCTTGTGCTTGTCGCCTGGATGAATGGGGAGGAGGAAAGGAGAACTGGCAGACATCAGACATGTTCAAAGGCAGATTAGTTTTAGGAAAGAGTTGGAAGCTGAGGATCTGAAAATTCATATCCTTGAAATTCTCCATGCTCTGGGAAGTCTTGTGTACCCCAGGGGTATGTACACAGTTTGAAGACTGTTGGGGAAAAGAACTTAAACCCATTGCTGAAAGTCTCTAAAAGGATGCAAATAATAAGGTGGTATTTCTAAACAAAAAGTCTCTGACTGCATTTCTTTGTGACATTTAAAGCCTTGGAAATATCTTCAAATAGGGATCAAACTCTCATCATCAAAATGGAAGGTATAACAATTAGAGATTATCTTGCTTGTGAGGCCAACCTTGTGTATAATCTTGGATAGACAGTTCTGGCGTCCCAGGAATTGTTTCTACTTTTCTCTAGATGAGTCCTTAGAACTAGTTTGTTTTGTTTTACCCTTCCTGTCCATACTTGATCATCTTTAGTGTGTGTGTGACCCAATCTAAATTAGTCACTTTTCACCCTGAAGTTCTAGCATCTACTCTACGTCATCATTGGGCATTATGCCCATCTTTTGATTCTCTCTGAGGGCCCTTTCAGTGTCAGAAGTAAGTAAGCTTTAAAACAAAACAAAACAAAGCAAAAAAAAAAAAAAAAATCCCGCCACTGTTGAGAGACTGTAATGGTAGGCCAATAAAGGAGCTGCTTATTGCAAACTATTGCAAACTCTTACATGGGAAGACTAGTAGGAGGGCAAAGTCACACCGGAAATGCACTTCGAAAGTCTCTCCTCTAAAGTTTCTGTGGAAAAGGGCAGAAGTAAATTACTGACAATGTGCAAAAGCAGAGGCAAAGAAAACAACTTTATTCGGTGCTTTCTCTCCCTTCCAGAGGCACTCTTCAGACTGAAGCTCCACGTACCCAGACAATACCCAGTGTCCTGCAGCTGTGACAACTTCATCCCATGCTGGGTGCCCTGGAAAGCACCTTGGGGGTGCATGGTTCCGAAAGCACTCATGATCAAGGTGGTCCATCCTTTTGCTAGTTGAGAATCTTCCCGCGTCACCTCTTAGAAGCAGGTGTGTGTTCCCCTTCATATAGCCCACCACCTGGCTGCGCCCTACCTCCGCTTGTCTCCCACCTACCAGATAATGTTGGGTGTGCAGAAGGTGACGCTGCGGTAGGAGCCAGGCCTCCACATGCAATCACTGGGGAAGAGGCAATGACAGGATTGGATGTTGGCGGCGCGCGCAAGTGCGCACGTGCACGCGCAAGCGCGCGCACACCCACAAACACACAGGCACCGAGGGTTTGAGGGTGCGCAGGGGGAGGGGAGGGGACGGCCTTACCAGATCAATGAATGTGAGGAATTTCCAGCTCCCTCCGTAGGTCTGATGCGAGGGCATTTCGATGGCCTTGTAGTTGCACAAGATAGAGCAGTAGGACAGCAGGATAGCTACTCGCAGCACCTGGCAGGGGACAAGCGCCATGTTCGCAGAAGGCCCGGGCTGGCTCTGAGGCGAGGAAGGAGGGCGACCGGCGCGCGGGCGGGCACGAGAACAGCCCGGTGCGGGCGGGCTCCGGGGCGGGCGCCGGACGGAGGCTGCCGCTGGGCGCGAGTCTGGCAGCACCAGCGGGTTGGTTAGTGCCCGGCGACCTGCGCGGGCGGGGCGGGGGTTTGTGGGCGCTCTCGCTGCTGCGGCCAGGGAGGCTGCGTGGCGTCATCTCTGTCGTCATCTTCGTCATTCTGCTCCTGCGTTCCTGGGTTCCGGGAGACCCGGCCAGAGGCGCGCCATAGGCGTCCCAGCAGCGGGTGGGCAGCCTCCGAGGGCCACCAGGGTTCGGGAAGTGTGCGAGGAGCTCCGGGGTGGAGAGAGACAGAGCCCCGGGGACAAGTGGATGCGGGGCTACTGGAGGGTACGGGAATACTGGACTGAAGGAGGGCACCCTAGGTAGGCAAACTTTCCAGCCCGGCGAATAAGGGCAGAAGTCCCCTCTAGTTGCTGTTGGCTAAGTAGGGTGCTCCGTGGGAGAGGGACCTCGTGGGCGTGGGAACGTGAGGTATAAACACGCGCATAGGTAGCCCTCGAGTGACTTGCATTATTTTGGAGCCAGTGGGCTATTAGTGTTGCCTGAGGGCTGTTAATCACTATGAAACTCCCTTATAAATTCAGCTTTCTGTGGGTAGGCTACCCTGCACTTTTTGACAAGAGATTTATAAATCTTATATCAATATATAATAAAACGTAGGACTATGAACTTTGGACAAGAGTTCTATAAATAAAATAAAGTTATAAAGAAAGGAGTTCAGATAGCTGTTTCCACTACAAGATTGCATTCACCTTAAAAACAAATTATTCTGTGTGAATGTAAAACCCGTGTGTGTATAATTTAATACTAATCTTTTCGGGAGTTAAACTGGTTTTGCCCTTTTTGTTTATTTATTTATTTTCCTACACTACAATATCAGGGCTGAATGGAAGGAAAATATATACTGAATTCGTCTGCCTTCTAATAAGTGTTGTCACGCTGAAGTTGCCTCAGTCTGTGGGCAGCATTTTTTTTTTTTTTAAATCATGATCACATTTCAGCCAACCAGATGCAGGGTCAGATTGTGAAAAGACAACATAGCTATTTCCTGTGGATCCATTTAAAACAGGTGTTGCCTCCAAATAGTCTTTGAGTCAGACGATGTGGAGTGTGGAGTGGCAGGGAAAGCATGGGTTTCGAGGTAAAGAGAAAGTAGCAAATGAGGAATGTTTTCCCAGAGTTTTCCAATCAAGCTCTAAACAAAAATAAATAAACCCTCCAGATATTTTAAGCTGGCATTATAATTATGCAAATAGACATCGATGTCACAAGTATTAAAATAATTCCAAGAAGATTCTACTGGCATAGAACTATTCATTGTTGAATATTTGTATCTTCATGTAAAAGCTGGGTCTGTATTTTTTTGTGTGTCCATGCTACATGTTTATAAAATTGGGGAAAAAAAGGTTACTGAAGATCTATCGTTAAGTCTTAAACAGAGAAAATGTTTAGTTGTCAAGGATTTCATTTTACTTGCATCCACAATCAACAGGAGGCAGCAGTTCAGAATTCAAACAAAGTATTGCATTAGGCAATCTGCTGCAAAAGACCTCTTCAAAGTGTTAAAAAAAAAAAAAAAAAAAAAAGATGTCACTTTGAGGACTAAGGTGTGCCTGACCCAAGCCATGGTATTTGTAATCATCTCATAGACATGGGAAAGCTGGACAATGAATAAGAAAGACTGAAGAAGACTTGATGCCTTTGAACTGTGATGTTGGCAAAGAATATTGAATATACCATGGACTGCCAGAAGAACGAACAAATCTGTCCTGGAAGAAGTACAGCCAGAGTTTTCCTTGAAATCGAGGATGATGAGACTTTGTCTCCCATACTTGGGACATGTTATCAGGAGGGACCAGTCCCTGGAGAAGGATATAATACTTGGTAAAGTAGAGGGTTGACAAAAAAGAGGATGACCCTCAAAGAGACGGACTGACACGGTGACTGCCACAATGAGCTCAAACCGAGCAATGATTGTGAGGATGGCACAGGAACAGGCAGTGTTTTGTTCTGTTGTACACAGGGTCCCTATGAGTAGGAACCTACTGGATGGCACCTAACAACAACAACATGTCCCAAGAACTGAAGGTCAGGCGAGGAGAAGAGTGCAGGGTAGAGAAAGAGAGACAGACAGGTCAACCCCCCAAGGAAACTCCCCTTTCAACTGACTGGGAAGAGCAATGAGTCCAATGTCTGCCAAATCACTGCGAATCATTGCCTAACCAAGTTAATACATGACGTTAGTCATCACACCTTCCAACCTTACGTTTTAGAAAATTAGTAACAAGATGCTCTGTCTCTATCATTACAAAATTCAATAATATTTTCATAAGGCTATTTAAATTTTTTTTCCTATTGTCGGTTTCTGTTAAATAAATAACTAGAAAACTCCAATAAATAAATAAGAGTTTTGAACTTATCCTAATGGGTTTTCTTTTGTTATTTGTGATTTGCTAGTCATGATGAGATAGTTTTGTATTCTAAAAAAAATGAAACATTTGTATAAACATTGACTCAAATATTCTGGGAAGGTCAGTCCTCAATTTTTTTCATTGCCTGGTAACTATTAGCTTGCTCTCTTTGCTTTTTAGAACATATCTAATCATCTAGTCATGTTTTAAAGGCCTACTTTGTGGGAAAAAGTATGAATCTACACACAAATTATGTTTGTACAGTGCAATTAATACAATAAGGAGCCCTGGTGGCGCAGTGTTCAGCAGTTCGAACCCACCAGCTGCTCCACAAGAGAAAGATGTGGCAATCTGCTTCTGTAAAGAGTTACAGCCTTGGAAACCCTATGGAGCCAGTTCTATTACAAGTTTTTTTTCTCCTTTCTTTTTGGTGAGGAGACTCGATTTAATGTCATTTAATTTGTTTAAAAAACAATAAATTTGGGCTATTGCTTTTAAAAGTAGAAGCGTATCCCCTTTTATGAGCTATAATACATTATTAACTGATAAGTAGTTATGTGATTATTCTATATTTGAGTAACTAAATACTGTTTCTTTAATACCACTACACAATTAGTGGAACCCTGGTGGTGCAGTGGTTAAGCGCTGGGCTGCTAACCGAAAGGTCAGCAGTTCGAATCCAGCAACCACTCCTTGGAAACCCTATGGGGCAGTTCTACTCTGTCCTAGAGGGTCGCTATGATCTGATGGCAAAGGGTTTGGTTTTTCAGTTTGCACAATTAGTGGAGATAGAGGAGAAAAGCCTTATTCAGTTGAGTTTCATGGATATCAGTAAACTGCCTGTATAAGAAAAACCAAGAGATGATTTCCAGACACTTTTTTAGCTTCTAGTTACATTAATGCTGTTTGATTTTTGGAATTTCTCTTATACTTAGACTATGTGCTTGTGTGTGTATGGGCTGAAGATATTCTTCCTTATGTATTCTAAAAACTGACTTTTTTTTTTTGGAGAGGGAGGGAGTCTCATATTAGTCATGATGATTTTAGAAATTATATAAACCCGTGTCTCCCTCATGTTGTATTCTAAGAGGATAACTTCATATAACCATGGGTCTTTGCTTGAAAAATTCAGGAAGAAGAATTGTATTCATGCATATCATTACAATGCTCAATATTTACACATTTCTTATAATTTTGTGTTTATATCAAATAAGCGTTTTCTAACAATATCAATTTCTTGGACAGGTCATTTTACTCCTTCACATTTATCTGCAATACAAGGAGGTGTTAAAGATTAGCCAGAGTGAAAGTTGGGACATGTCCCACTGAGAAGCTTAGGAGTGGGGAAAACCCCCTTAGGATTGCAGAAAACACACCTTTGAGTTGTTGTGTTTTTTGTTTTTTTTTAATTATAAAAGTAATATGCTGAGTGAAATAAGTTAATCACAAAAGGACAAATATTGCGTGAGACCACTACTATAAAAATTCATGGAAAAGTTTACACATGAAAGAAACAATCTTTGATGTGATGAGGGAGGGGAGGGGTGGGCATGGAAATACACTAAATAGACAATAGATAAGTGGTAACTTTGGTGAACAGTAAGACAGTACACAATACTGGGAAAGTCAGCACAACATGTACAATTTAAGGTCATGGAAGCTCCGTAGACTCATCCAAACTCCCTGGGAGACCGATTTATAGGGCTGAGAGCTGTGGGGACCATGGTCTTGGGGAACATCTAGCTTAATTGGCATAACATAGTTTACGGAGAATATGTTCTACATTCTACTTTGATGAGTAGCGTCTGGGGTCTTGAAAGCCTGCGAGCGGCCATCTAAGATACTCCACTCGTCTCACCCCTTTGGGAGCGAGGGAGAATGAAGAAAACTAAAGACACAAAGGAAAGATTAGTCCGAAGGACTAATGGACCACAACTACCACGGCCTCCACCAGACTGAGTCCAGTACAACTAGATGGTGCCCGGCTACCATCACTGACTGCTTTGGCAGGGATCACAATAGAGGCTCTTGGACAGAGCTGGGGAAAAATGTAGAACAAGATTCTAACTCACAAAAAAAGACCAGACTTACTGGCCTGACAGAGACTGGAGAAACCCCGGGAATATGGCTCCTGGATACCCTTTTAGCTCAGTAATGAAGTCACTCCTGAGGTTCACACTTCAGCCAAAGATTATATAGGCCCATAAAACAAAATGAGACTAAAGGGGTACACTAACCTAGGGGCAAGAATGAGAAGGCAGGAGGGGACAGGAAAGCTGGTAATGGAGAACCCAAGGTGGAGAAGGGAGAGTGTTGCCATGTCATGGGGTTGTTAACCAATGTCATAAAACAATATGTGCACTAACTGAAAAAAAAGTTAAACACACAATTACCATATGACTCAGCAATTCCACTCCTAGGTATATACCCAAAAGAATTGAAAACTGGTGTTCAAACAAAACTTGCACAAAAATGTTCATTGCAGTGTTATTCACAACAATAAGTAAATAAATAAAAGTAATATGCTCACAAAAGGTAAATAGGAAATTTTTTAAAAAAACAAAGCAGGAAAAAAGGTT